GCGGGGGGACACGATGGAGAAGTGGATCCCGCGCTGGGGAGGCGAGGGACAGGGGTGAGTGGAGGCCGAGGAATGGGGAGAGAACCCAGGCGTCCTGGGTCCCAGACACCCCTCCCCCACATGCTCTAACCACTACACCCCCCCCCCCCCCGTCTCCCCGAGCAGGAAGAGAACCCAGGAGTCCTGGCTCCCATACCCCCCCCGCTCTAACCACTAGCCCACTCCCCTCCCAGAACAGGGAGAGAACCTAGGAGTCCTGGCTCCCAGCACCCGCCTGATCTAAGCACTAGACCCCACTCTCCTCCCAGAGCTGGGGAGAAAACCCAGGAGTCCTGGCTCCCAGCCCCCCGGCTCTAACCACTAGACCTCTCCCCCCCCCTCACCTCTCCGATCTTCTGCACCAGGTTCTCGGTGGTGTAGCCGGAGTAGGTGGTGCTCTCCACAGCAGGCAGCAGGTAAGGGGGCGAGTTGCAAATCAGGATGCACACCTTGTGGGTCTGGCCTCTGGGGCAGGGGGGAAGGGGAGAGACAGACAGGGTGCGGGCGATGCTATGGAGCCTCCATTTCCCAGCATGCCACGCTTTGGCCCTGGGACACAGCTGTAGCACAGCATGGTGGGAGCTGGGGAACGCAGCCCGCCAAGCCCCTGACCCCCCCGCCCCCGCCATCCCGGCTCCCGCCCCAGCCCCCGCACTCACATCTGCTCCCTCATCTTCTTGAAGTCATCGAAGAGCTGCAGGGCCGTGCTGAGCCCCTCGGCGATGAGGCTGCAGCTCTCGCCGCCGCCCCCCACAAACCTGCACAGGAGGGACATGGAGCGGAGTGAGGCCCCCAAGACACAGCCTTCATGGAGCGAGGGATGGGACCCAGGAGTCCGGGCTCCCAGCCCCCAATGCTCTGACCCACAGGAACCCACTCCCCTCGCAGGACCAGGGAGAGAACCCAGGAGTCCTGGCTTGTATCTGTCTAAGGAGACATTTCCCGGCGAGCAGCATGGCACTTCCCAGGATTGAAAGTTGGGGAAGGGGGTCTCCCCCCCCAGGAAGATCTGCCTGTCCCCGCAGCCCGCCCGCCCCCCCCCGCTCCACTCACTGGATGCTGTCCAGCCAGGTGACGAACTCGTAGGCGCTGCTGGTGGGGGCGTGGCACTGCACATAGGACTCCGGGGCGCAGTCCACCGTGTTGAACACCACCAGGCTGTACTGGGTGCCGCCATACTGCCAGGGAGAGCGGGGTGAGATCCAGGAGTGCCCTGACAACTCCCACCCGCACTGCTCACCGAGGGACCAGGGGTGCTCAAGGGAAGCCCCACAAACCTGCCCAGCCCCCCGCAAACCCAATGACCAGCAGGGAGCCTGGGGTGAGATGGGGGGCGACCCACAAACCAGTCCAGCCTCACCCCCAAACTCTAGCACCCGCAAGGGGATGGGGGTACAATGAGAGGTGCTCTCCCAGTCCTACCCAGCCCCCCCAAAATCCCACTTCCTGTGCGGGAGATGGAGGGGTGCCCCACAGCCCCAGAAACTACGTTGTACAGGGGGTGGATGGGGTGAGATTGGGGGCCTTCCCCCAAAGCTCATCAGGGCGCCCACTCACGTCTCCCCCGAAGTCTGTCTCAGCTGGGGGGCCGCCATTGAAGTACCTGGGGGGACACAAGTAGAATGCGCCCATCAGATCTTGAGGGGATGCCAAGCCTGCTCGCCCTGCACTTGGGCGGCACAGAGCGGAGTCCCCCCCCCACTTCCCTTGGAGCCTCCCATCCAAGGTGGGAGTGGGGCTGACCCTGCTCAGCTACGGGTGGGGCGGGGGGGCAGAGGGACTAGCTGCTTGGGGTGGAGGCTGCTCATGGGGAGGGCTTGGGAGTACGTGCTTGGGAGATTGGGGCCACGATGCAGGCTGTCCACTGAGGAGGGGACAATGGGCTGGGAGGATACGGGGTTGAGGGAAGGGCAAAGCCTGCCTGTGGGGGGGGGTATGGGGCGGGTTCCCCCCAGCAAAGGCCTAGGGAGATGTGAGAGGACGCTGGGGCTGGGAGGCAGGCGGTGGGCTCGGGGGGCGACTGGGACACGCGGGGGCCAGGTGGCCGGGGACACAGGCTGGGGCGGGGGGGGGGTGCAGGACGCACTCGATGGCGGGCAGCAGGTAATGCTTGCGCAGCGACTCGAAGTAGGGCCCCAGGTTGGCCGTGCCCTCGATGACGAACACCACGTCGGCCACCATCCCGGCCACGGCCTGCGCGGGCAGCTCCAGCCCCGGCACCACCATCGCCCCGCCGGGCGCCCCGAGCCCCGCCGGCCGCTGGAGGGGGGGGGAGACGCTCTCAGGGGGGGCGGGGTACGTACCCTTCGGTGCCCTGAATCCCCCTCCCCACCCCCTCAACTGCCCCTTCCCCTGCCCCTCCCCAACCCCCCATCCCCCCCCCCAAACCCTCCTCCCCAACCGCCCCCCGCCCCTCCCAAACCCTCCTCCTCAACCGCCCCTTCCCCTGCCCCTCCCCCCTCCTGAACCCCCCCATCCCCGCCCCCCCAAACCCTCCTCCTCAACCGCCCCTTCCCCTGCCCCTCCCCCCAACCCTCCTCCTCAACCGCCCCCCCGAACCCCCCTCCCAAACCCTCCTCCTCAACCCCCCATCCCCGCCCCTCCCCGAACCCTCCTCCTCAACCCCCATCCCCGCCCCCCCAAACACTCCTGCTCAACCGCCCCTTCCCCTGCCCCCCCCCCCAACCCTCCTCCTCAACCGCCCCCGAACCCCCTCCCAAACCCTCCTCCTCAACCCCCATCCCCGCCCCTCCCAACCCTCCTCCTCAACCGCCCCCCCTGCCCCCCCCCCCTCCCAACCCTCCTCCTCAACCGCCCCCCAAACCCCCTCCCAAACCCTCCTCCTCAACCCCCCATCCCCGCCCCTCCCAAACACTCCTCCTCAACCGCCCCTTCCCCTGCCCCTCCCCCTCCCGAACCCTCCTCCTCAACCGCCCCCGAACCCCCCTCCCAAACCCTCCTCCCCAACCCCCCATCCCCGCCCCTCCCAAACACTCCTCCTCAACCGCCCCTTCCCCTGCCCCTCCCCCCAACCCTCCTCCTCAACCGCCCCCGAACCCCCTCCCAAACCCTCCTCCCCAACCCTCCATCCCCGCCCCTCCCGAACCCTCCTCCTCAACCGCCCCTTCCCCTGCCCCCCCCCCTCCCGAACCCTCCTCCTCAACCGCCCCCCAACCCCCCAAACCCCCCATCCCCGCCCCCCCGAACCCTCCTCCTCAACCGCCCCTCCCCTGCCCCTCCCCCAACCCTCCTCCTCAACCCCCCCCATCCCCGCCCCTCCCGAACCCTCCTCCTCAACCGCCCCTTCCCCTGCCCCTCCCCCCTCCCGAACCCTCCTCCTCAACCGCCCCCAACCCCCCTCCCAAACCCTCCTCCTCAACCCCCCATCCCCGCCCCTCCCAAACACTCCTCCTCAACCGCCCCTTCCCCTGCCCCTCCCCCCCAACCCTCCTCCTCAACCGCCCCCGAACCCCCCTCCCAAACCCTCCTCCCCCAACCCCCCATCCCCGCCCCTCCCGAACCCTCCTCCTCAACCCCCCATCCCCGCCCCTCCCGAACCCTCCTCCTCAACCGCCCCTTCCCCTGCCCCTCCCCCCTCCCGAACCCTCCTCCTCAACCGCCCCCCATCCCCGCCCCTCCCGAACCCTCCTCCTCAACCGCCCCTTCCCCCCCCTCCCCCCAACCCTCCTCCTCAACCGCCCCCCGAACCCCCCTCCCCAACCCCCCAACCCCGCCCCTCCCGAACCCTCCTCCCCAACCCCCCATCCCCGCCCCTCCCCCTCCCGAACCCTCCTCCTCAACCGCCCCTTCCCCTGCCCCTCCCCCTCCCGAACCCTCCTCCTCAACCGCCCCCATCCCCGCCCCTCCCAAACACTCATCCTCAACCGCCCCTTCCCCTGCCCCTCCCCCCAACCCTCCTCCTCAACCGCCCCCGAACCCCCCTCCCAAACCCTCCTCCCCAACCCCCCATCCCCGCCCCTCCCAAACACTCCTCCTCAACCGCCCCTTCCCCTGCCCCTCCCCCCAACCCTCCTCCTCAACCGCCCCCCGAACCCCCCTCCCAAACCCTCCTCCCCAACCCCCATCCCCGCCCCCTCCCAAACACTCCTCCTCAACCGCCCCTTCCCCTGCCCCTCCCCCCCCAACCCTCCTCCTCAACCGCCCCCCAACCCCCCCCTCCCGAACCCTCCTCCCCAACCCCCCATCCCCGCCCCTCCCAAACACTCCTGCTCAACCGCCCCTTCCCCTGCCCCTCTCCCCTCCCGAACCCTCCTCCTCAACCGCCCCCCAACCCCCCTCCCAAACCCTCCTCCTCAACCCCCCATCCCCGCCCCTCCCGAACCCTCCTCCCCAACCGCCCCCTCCCAAACCCTCCATCCCCGCCCCTCCCGAACCCTCCTCCTCAACCGCCCATCCCCGCCCCTCCCAAACACTCCTGCTCAACCGCCCCCTCCCCTGCCCCTCTCCCCTCCCGAACCCTCCTCCTCAACCGCCCCCCAACCCCCCCCCTCCCAAACCCTCCTCCTCAACCCCCCATCCCCGCCCCCTCCCAAACCCTCCTCCCCAACCCCCCATCCCCGCCCCTCCCGAACCCTCCTCCTCAACCGCCCCTTCCCCTGCCCCTCCCCCCCAACCCTCCTCCTCAACCGCCCCCCACCCCCCTCCCAAACCCTCCTCCCTCAACCCCCCATCCCCGCCCCTCCCGAACCCTCCTCCTCAACCCCCCATCCCCGCCCCTCCCAAACACTCCTCTCAACCGCCCCTTCCCCTCCCCTCCCCCCAACCCTCCTCCTCAACCGCCCCCCGAACCCTCCTCCTCAACCGCCCCTTCCCCCCCTCCCCCCTCCCGAACCCTCCTCCCCAACCCCCCCCCATCCCCGCCCCTCCCGAACCCTCCTCCTCAACCGCCCCTTCCCCTGCCCCTCCCCCCAACCCTCCTCCTCAACCGCCCCCAACCCCCTCCCCAACCCCCAACCCCGCCCCTCCCGAACCCTCCTCCCCAACCCCCCATCCCCGCCCCTCCCCCTCCCGAACCCTCCTCCTCAACCGCCCCCTCCCCTGCCCCTCCCCCTCCCGAACCCTCCTCCTCAACCGCCCCCCATCCCCGCCCCTCCCAAACACTCATCCTCAACCGCCCCTTCCCCTCCCCCTCCCCCCAACCCTCCTCCTCAACCGCCCCCCGAACCCCCCTCCCAAACCCTCCTCCCCAACCCCCCATCCCCGCCCCTCCCAAACACTCCTCCTCAACCGCCCCCTTCCCCTGCCCCTCCCCCCAACCCTCCTCCTCAACCGCCCCCGAACCCCCCTCCCAAACCCTCCTCCCCAACCCCCATCCCCGCCCCTCCCAAACCTCCTCCTCAACCGCCCCTTCCCCTGCCCCTCCCCCCCAACCCTCCTCCTCAACCGCCCCCCCCGAACCCCCTCCCGAACCCTCCTCCCCAACCCCCCATCCCCGCCCCTCCCAAACACTCCTGCTCAACCGCCCCTTCCCCTGCCCCTCTCCCCTCCCGAACCCTCCTCCTCAACCGCCCCCAACCCCCCCCCCCTCCCAAACCCTCCTCCTCAACCCCCCATCCCCGCCCCTCCCGAACCCTCCTCCCCAACCGCCCCCTCCCAACCCTCCATCCCCGCCCCTCCCGAACCCTCCTCCTCAACCCCCCATCCCCGCCCCTCCCAAACCCTCCTGCTCAACCGCCCCTTCCCCTGCCCCTCTCCCCTCCCGAACCCTCCTCCTCAACCCCCCCCAACCCCCCCTCCCAAACCCTCCTCCTCAACCCCCCATCCCCGCCCCTCCCCGAACCCTCCTCCCCAACCCCCCATCCCCGCCCCTCCCGAACCCTCCTCCTCAACCGCCCCTTCCCCTGCCCCTCCCCCCAACCCTCCTCCTCAACCGCCCCCCAAACCCCCCTCCCAAACCCTCCTCCCCAACCCCCCATCCCCGCCCCTCCCGAACCCTCCTCCTCAACCCCCCATCCCCGCCCCTCCCAAACACTCCTGCTCAACCGCCCCTTCCCCTGCCCCTCCCCCCAACCCTCCTCCTCAACCGCCCCCCGAACCCTCCTCCTCCAACCCCCCTTCCCCTGCCCCTCCCCCCTCCCGAACCCTCCTCCTCAACCGCCCCCCATCCCCGCCCTCCCAAACCCTCCTCCTCAACCCCCCTTCCCCTGCCCCTCCCCCCCGAACCCTCCTCCTCAACCGCCCCCCCCCAAACCCCCCCTCCCAAACCCTCCTCCTCAACCCCCCATCCCCTGCCCCTCCCGAACCCTCCTCCTCAACCCCCCATCCCCGCCCCTCCCAAACCCTCCCGCTCAACCCCCCTTCCCCTGCCCCTCCCCCCAACCCTCCTCCTCAACCGCCCCCCGAACCCCCCTCCCCAACCCCCCATCCCCTGCCCCTCCCCCTCCCGAACCCTCCTCCTCAACCGCCCCTTCCCCCCTCCCGCGCCCCCGGCCCTCCCGACTGCCCCCTCCTCTCTCTCGCTCCCCCCGCGGCCGCGCGCCCAGCGCCCCTCACCTCCTCCTCCCGCCACTTCCGGCCTGGCCCCACCCCCACCGGAAGTTGCTCCTTCTGCTCCGCCCCGGTCCCGCCCGTCCCGCCGTCACCATGGTAACAGCGTCATCGCTCCCGGCAGCCACCGGGCTCCAAGATGGCCGCGGCCCGGGGCTGAGCCGGAGCCGGGGCGCGCTGGGGAGCGGCGCGTGCGGGGCCTGAGCGGGGAGGGGCGGGGCCGGGAAGCGGGGCCCAGGAAGGGGGAGGGGCGGGGCCTAGGGCGGGGCAGAGGCGGGGCTTGAGCAGGAGGTGCCGGCAGGGGGCGGGGTCTGTGAGTGGGGGGGACTGGGGAGGGTGGAGCCTAAGAAGGGGCGGGTCCTCGAGGGGGCGGGGCCCCAGCAAGAGAAGGGGAGGGGCCTGTGGGTGCGGTAGGAGGAGGGGCGGGGCCTGTGAGGGGGCGGGGCCGGAGCAGGGGCGGGGCACCCGACAGAGTTGAGTGGGTAGCCAGGGCTGGGCCCACTGGGGGGCCATGGGGGAGGAGGGGGGCTCCGTCACCCTGCTCTGCCTCACAGCCAGCAGCGGGGTCCCCCTGTTCTGCCGCAGCCTGGGGGCTCCCTCCAAGCACCAGGTGAGGCCCCTGACCCTCCCCCGCCCTGTGGGGCTGGTGCCCCCTAACCCTAGAGCGTGTGGGGGTGCGGAGGGGGGTTATAGGAAGGAACGAGATTAGGTTCGGGGGGAAGAGCTGTGTTTCCCTAGAAACACCCCCACTCCCAAATGGTAATTACCTCTCAGAGCCAATCACGCCAGGGAGAGAACCCAGGCATCCTGGCTCCCAGCCTCCTTTCCCCTCCCAGAGCCGGGGAGAGAACCCAGGCGTCCTGGCTCCCAGCCCCCCCTGCTCTAACCACTAGCCCCCTCTCCCCTCCCAGAGCCGGGGAGAGAACCCAGGCATCCTGGCTCCCAGCCCCCCCTGCTCTAACCACTAGCCCCCTCTCCCCTCCCAGAGCCAGGGAGAGAACCCAGGCATCCTGGCTCTCTGGCCCATTCCCTCTGAGTGACGCTCCCCCTCTCCCCCTTTCTCTCCCCAGCTGCCCTTCCCGGTGATCGGCTCCCTGAATGGGGTGCACATGTTCGGGGCGAACCTGGACGTCCTGCTGACGGCAGCCTGCACCACCAACACCCATGTGGTGTGGAGGGTTTTCCACAACAGGTCAGAGGGCAGCGGGCTGGAGGGGGCAGGCTGGGAGCTGAGGGCCCCAGAGCAGGAGATGCTGGCCCTTGGGGGGGGCCGGGGGGCTGGGGATTGGTTGCCCCTAAGGCAGGGGGGTGGACTGGGGAGCAGCTGCCCCCCCATGAGCCGCAGCATCACCCCAACCTTTCCAGCATCACCCTGATCGTCCTGTCGTCGGAGGAAGGAGCCAGCGACTTCGCCCTGGGGCGCCTGCTGGACAACGCCTTCAGCGCTATGGTGAGCCCCTGCCCCCCCCGAACCCCCAGCCCTGACTGTGCCCCCCCCAGGGGACTGTGAAATGCTCTGGGAGCAGGATGCCAGCCGAACAACCAGTGGGGCCACTGGCCGATCGAGGTGCTAAGGGAGCACTCAAGGAAGACAAGGCCGTCGCGGAGAAGCCAGATGAATTCTTTGCTAGTCGGTCTTCACTGCAGGGGATGGGAGGGAGATTCCCAAACCCGAGCCATGGTTTTTGGGTGACAGATCTGCCCCAGACTGCGGCGTCGGGAGAGGAGGTTTGGGAACAAAGTGGTAAATTAACCAGGACTAGGTCCCTCGGCCCGGCTGGGAATCACCCAAGGGTTCAGCAGGAACTCGGATAGGACTCTGCAGAACTACTCGCTGCAGGGCGTCGCCTGTCGCTTACCTCAGCCTCTGGACCAGGCGGCTGGAGGGCAGCTAATGTGCTCCCGATTTTTAAAAAAGACTCCAGGGGCGATCCTGGCAATTCCAGGCCGGCGAGCCTGACTCCAGTGCCGGGCAAACTGGTTAAAGAACAGCAGGATGTGTGGGCCAGGAATTGCCCCAGATGCTCCCCCTCCCCCGGCTCTCTGCCCGGTCTATGCAGCGGGGGGCAACTGACTAGCCTGGGGAATCATTCCAGGTGCTAATCCTGGGCTTGGAGGAGCTGGTGAACATCCGCAACATTGAACGCCTCAAAAAGGACCTGAGGGTGAGTGGGGGGATTGGGGTCCCCCCCAAGCCTGGGCCCTGTCGGGGGGGGAGACTGGGCCTTGTGGGAGGGGAGACTGGGCCCCCCGGAGCCTGGGCCCCAGGTGGGGGAGACTGGGACCCCCCTGAGCTTGGGCTCTGAGGGGAGACAGGAGACTGGGACCCTGCAAGCCTGGGCCCTGGGGGCGGGTGGGGGCTGGGCTGCCCACCATCCTGGGCCCCATAGGGCGTGGGAGTGGGCTGTGTTGTGGGGTAACAGTCCTAGCCCATGGCGTGACATCCTGTCCCTGTATCTGGGGACAGACGGAAGCCGTGGGGCTCGCATGCAGCAGTTGGGGAGGGGAGGGGGCTGAACCCTGCAGCCCCCACCCCGCCTGGCTGCTCCCAGGCTCACCAGCCCCTTCCAACCCCCCACCCCAGGCCTGCTACAAGCTGATCGACAGCTTCCTGGCACCCCTGGAGCGGAGCGGGGACCTGACGCAGTGTGTGGAGTGTGTCCCTGTGCCCCATGGCGCCGCCCTGCAGGTGAGAGGCCCCCCCAGCAAACCTGGGAATAGAGACCCTCTGGGGACCCCTGCAACCATCCCCTGCCCTGGGTAGGGGGAACTCTGTGGGGTAGGCAAGGGAGCCATACAGCCCTGGGGGTCTCTGGGTAGGGGGAACCCTGGAGGGATCTCATGGGGGCGGGTTCTGCCCCCAGGTTCTTGGGGTTGAGAGCTATGGGGAACAGGGGTATTGGGATTGGGGGGGGTCACCCCACCCTGGTCCCCAGCTGGCGGTGGGAGGGTCCTGGGGAAGGGCCAACCCCCGACACCCTCCGCCCTTTTCTCCCCGTGCGCCAGGAGTGCCTGGAAGCCTTCGCGGGCGCGGCCGAGAGCCGCTTTGGCTGCCTGGTGGCTGGGGGCCGGCTCGCGCTGGCCACGGAGCCCTGGTGGCAGCTGGCCCCCCAGGAGCTGCTGCTGCTGAGCTGGCTGGTGGGCTCGCTGCCCCCCCACGCAGCACGGGATTACCCCATCTACCTGCCCCATGGCAGCCCCACGGTGAGTGCGTGGACGGGGGGGGAGGTTGGAGGCTGGTCAGGAGGGGGAGGAAGGATTGAGGTGTCATGGGGGGATGGCTGGGGGGCTGACAGGGACAGGGGAGAGGTTTGGATGCCGGGGAGCTGGTCAGCAGGGGTTGAGGTTTGGATGATGGGGGGCTGTCAAGGGGGCAGGCTGGGCTGGGGGCCCAGGGGTTTCTGACACTGCCCCCCCCCAGGTCCCCCACCGGCTCCTCACCTGCCAGCTGCTGCCCGGCCTGGAGGCCTGCCTGATCTGCGGGCCCAGCCCTGCCCTGCACACCGTGGAGACCGAGGTGGGTGTGTGGGGGGGCAGGTGGCATCCTGTGCCCCCTAAAGGGGGAGTGGGGCTGGCCCCCCCGGCAGGGGGTCCCCAGCACGTTTAACCCCTTCTCCCCTGTGCCCCCAGCTGGTGCCACGGTTCTGGAAGCCCCTGCTGGAGCCACTGCAGGCGTGTGTGAGCCCCCAGCCCCACAGCCTGCCCCACGGCACCACGCTACCCCCTGGAGTCCTGGCGTGAGTGCCCTGGGGACTGGGGGGAGTGCTGGGGGGGGAGGGACAGGGCACACTGGAGGGACCTAGGGCAGGTGGTGCTGGTGGGGGAGGTGGGATGGCCAGGGCTGTGGGGGGCTGCAGCCTGGGAGCCCCAGAGGGGCCTGGACAGTGGAGCCCCCAGCCCCCCCTGTTCCTCTTTTCTCTCAGGTTCCTGTTGATCCATCGGGAGCAGAGAAGCAGCCAGAGCTCAGTGCAGCCCCCAGGATCAGGGGGGGAGGGTATGTCCTGTCCCCCAACCCAGCCTGTGGGAGAGGGTAGGTCCCTGCCCCCAAAGCCAGCCTGGGGCGGGTAGGTCCTGCCCCCCTGCCTGGCATCCCCAGTGCATCTGGAGAGTGGGTACACGCCCTCCCAGGGGCCAGGCAGGGGGAGGT